GGGTTCGAGCAACCCAAGCAACAGAGATCAAGAAGTCGTAAGCTCGGCTATTGCACTTATTCCATTTCAGGAAGTGGTAGAGTCTGAAACTCATGAAGTGGACATACCCGTGATGCCAACTGAAGAAGATACCACCCAAATGGAGTTTGCAGGAGTTGAAGTGCAAGTTTCCAATGACTTGCAAAGGAGAATCTCGAATCAATCTGCAGTTGATGCTGGTGTTGAACCCATTGTGTTCGACAAAACACAAACTCGAGATGATCCGGAACTGATGAAGGAATTAAACCAAGTTCAAGCATGGAAGGAATAGAGACTTGAAAGATATCACTCTTTTATCTCCAAAGTTGATTCAGAGTTGATACAAAGTGAAGAATTAGCGTTTGAATGGCTAGGAACCAACTCAATGCTTGAAGCACTAAACATGGATGCAAATCAAGTTTATAGGCTGAAGCTTCAAGAAAAGAACAATAAGGGAAAACGAGTGGCCGCAGCAACTCAAGAAGATGCCAATCAAGTCTCTCCAAATGATATTGAAAAAGAGAATGAAATGAGGCTACAGATTGCTCTACACAGATCGTTGACTGACACTCATGGACATCCAGGTGATACTTCAATTAATATAGCCAATGATTTTCTTGAAAATTTTAGAGAAAGGGCGAATGAAGGAAGTACACTTGTTGAGGTACCAATTTCAGCTTCTGAAACGCATGAGTCTATTCCTGTCAGAGTTCACTGTGCTGAACTTTTGATATCAAATGTGACCCTCACTAACATTGATATAAATGCTATGGACCCTACAAGGGATGAATTTAGAGACCAAATTGATGGTGAAATCAGACCATCAATTGGGGGGGGGGGGGGGGGAATATTCACATGAAGTGCCAGTACACGATAACACCCCTATATTGTCACTTCAAAATGCCTCTCTGGAAGCTACTTTAAATGCAGAGCTTATTTCAAGAACAGAGGTAATTGAAGAAGAAGTGGAAAATCATCTTGAAGAAGCCGAATCACCAGAAGAGAATTTGCAACTCACCGAAAATCCGGTTCTTGGAGATTCAAGAAGGAATTTATTCAAGAGTTTACACTCTTTGAATATGCAAGGAGGCCGAACCTGAGAAGAAGATGAAGATGATTTATTGGTTTCTTTGTTTGCAAAAGTCACTGAATCAAGTGATATGGTGTGTCAGAAAATCGGAAGTACTCTCACCGAGCAAGGATATCTCTCTCTACAACATTTTGAGAACACACGAATAAATTTGAAGGAGTTGTTGGAGTATCAAAACACTTTGCAGACAAAAATTGAAAGAGCCGAACGACATTTGAAAGGAGATCTCACTGAAGGTTTATTGGAGATCATCCAGCTGATGAAGAAGGAACGAGAAGCCACAGAGAAAATCAACAGTGAAAGACACCTGAGACAAATCAAAGCCATACAAGATCAAGAAACAAGGATAAATCACCTTGAGGTGGAATTATCCTCCATGGCTAATAAATTGTCTGTTTTGCAGGATGTTTCTCTCAAAACACATGATGGAGTTAAGATTATTAAAGCCAATCAAGAACAAGATTCCAAATCCCTTGGCTTTTTGATTGATAATGCCATAAGGGGGGAAGAAATTCTCAATCATCTGGCTTTACAACAACATGAATTCATCATTGGAAATCAGTCACAACAACCAGCTCAGACCGCCGCACCTACGAAAGGCCGTGGACGAGGACGTGGTCAACAATCCCAAGTTGGTTTCACTCAATTTGCAAATCCGAGTTTTGAATCAAGTTCACAAAAGTGGCCGAAACTCGAGATTGGTTCGAATGCTCAAAAGGAACCTTAACACCGCAGAAAGTCTGGACATCCGAAAATGTGCCGGCTATGGTGAAAAGATGGCCAAAAGCTGATCAAGCTCAATGGATTTCGGACAAGAATAAAGAAGAAGAAGCGAAACGAAAGCAAACCGAAATGTGGTATGAGCTCTGAGACTATACCAAGAATAATGGTGAAAGTCTGGGATTCCAAAGAAGCTTTGAAGAATGCATAATTTGGTGGGAAGCCGGAGCTCTTCCGGGCACCAACATTAAAGAGGCCTTTGGACACTACATGGCTGGGAATGTGACTAAGAAATTTGAATGTGAGAAGTTCAAGAATGATATCTGCAAGATGAGAGAACATATCAAGGATATATTGAAAGCTGACATGGGAGTCAAGAAACCCAGAAGGTAATCAAGCATATATTCCTCAAGAAATATGATGTTTTAAATTTCTATGATTTTGGCTAGCTACAATATTTCCTCTTTCGACTAATATGAATAAAAATTCCCTTGGTTTGATGTAAGTCTGTTTATGATTTATTTTTTGGCTATCATGTAATTAGTTGGTGAATCAAAAGACAAGAGTTGTTAAACGCATGCAAAATTTTGATAAAGATAAAAATTGATTAAAAAAATTAATCAAGGATGCGTATAGGACTTGTCTAAATTAATTCACAAAGTTTTATTTTCCCTAGAATTATTTTTGTCAAACTCATCTTGGCTTTGTCGAAATAAAATTGAGTAAAAATAAAAATATTTTTCAAAGACTTAAAGCCAATGTTTGAGTATAGGTTATGGCATTATCAAAAGAGGGGAAATTGTTAGGAATAAATTGTAATAGATTTTGATAAGCCATATTGTAATTCGTACATCCCCAATTTTATTTTATTAGACTAGTCGAGTCTTAGACCAAGAAAGGGAAAAATAAATTCATTAGTTGAGGAAATGGATGAAGAAGATATCAAGCCAAAAATCAAGAATTTGTCAAGAGAAAATGGCAAACAGAAGAGGAAGATGTATGTGTATGAAATTTGAGAAAATCCCTCAAGAAATCCCGAAGAAGAAAGAACGTGACTTGAAGTTTGCATGAAGCTATCTTGAAGATCAAGCATCTATGGAAAGAAAGGAGTACACCAAGTGGAACAAGAAGATAACCAATAGGCTGTATGGACGAGATGGTAGAAGCTTGAAATATTATGTGCAAGGTCACAGGTTCGAATCTCACATCCCACATATTTTAAAGAAGCCAAGTTAAAAGTCCATCTGATCAAGTAAGAGGCGATGGTTTGGTCCCGAAGGGATACAATTTACAAGTCAAAGGGAATGAGATTTCCAAATTGACTAAGGGATGAAGTGAGATTTCCAAATTGACTAAGGGATGAAGTTTACAAGTGAAGGGATGCAGTTTCTCAAATTGGAGGGATGAGATTTACAAGGCTTCAATTCAATTGGAGATATAGATTGCAAGGGATGAGAATTCAATTAAGGGATGAGATTGCAATTTCAAATCAAGTAAGGGATGAGAATTCAATTGATAAATCTAGCAAGGGATAGAGATTTCATTTCCCAAAATAGAAAGGGATGAAGTAGAAAGGGATGAAGTTTCACAAGGGAAGAGAATTCCAAGTCAATTGAAGAGATGAAGTCTGGAAGCAGTATATAGACCCAGATACACGAAAAATATTAGAAGAAGTTGCAGGAGCAAAAATACTAGTCTAACTAGTAAGGGATTATATTGGAGAATATATTTTGAAGATAAAAATCCCAAGAGGCGTGATCTACACCAGATGGAGATTCATGGGACGCCATTTTTGCTGAAACCTCAAGCTCAATTTGAAATATCTGACAAGATCTGCAACGTTATCTTATCTTCTGACAAAAGGTTATACAACTAAGCAAAATTCGAAAATGAGACCGTTTCTTTCCAACGGACGGACGGATTCTCATTACCAGCTATAAATAGATGAAGATTGAAGCTGAGGAAAGTAGAAGCAAATAGCAAGAAGCAAGAATACAGAGCTAAACAGAGCATACAAAATTCAAAGAAAGCTTTCCATCTCAGGAGCTTAAATTGATATATCTTTTGTGAGATAAACACTCAGAGTGATACAGAGCTTAGAAAAGAAATATCCAAGAGTGTTAAAATCTTCATCAACTTCAAGAGACTCAGCGCACCATTGAAGATCATCTACAGAGTCTCAAAGTTGGAAGCAAGGCAAAACTTGTTTTGGAGCAAAACAAGGGAAAGGAGGAAAGTAACACGGAGTTGTGAAATCCTGGATTGTCACACGGAGCTGTGAGATCCGAAGCAGCAGTGTCGGAGGACATTGGGCGTGATTGGTGTGGGCTTGGTGATCAAAGCACCAGATCACGGAAGATACGTTTCTACCGGATCGTAGAAGACGGGGGGAAAATAGCACGGAGTTGTGAAATCCTGGGAAAGTAACGCGGCGACATGAAACCCGAAGCAGCAGTGTTGGAGGCACTGGGCGTGATTAGTGTGGGCTTGGTGATCAAAGCACTAGATCACGGAATTCATTGTATCTTGGAACCAAGAAGTGGTGGATATAGTGAATTAGCTCTTGGAGAAAAGAGCAAGTGGAGTAGGAGGATTACATCACCTCGCGAACCACTATAAATTGCCTTGTGTTCTTTACTGCTTTCTTTACTTACTGCTCTTGCTTACTTCTCACGTCAATAATCTTGACACGATCTACACACACACCGTATCGTTTATTTAATTCTGATGTGCACCGGACTCTAACAATCTAGTTAAGAGTCTTGGTTTATCTCTGGCTTACCTTTTGTTATATTGTGCGAATAAGTTTGAAAGTCTATTCACCCCCCCTCTAGACTTTCACCTTACCTCTTTTGGGACCAAGACTATTATCTAAAAATAAATTATGTATATAAAATTTATATCTTGTTCAAGTTCCAGCTACAGAGATGAGAGAACAAACTTTTGCTTTCCCAAAATTTCCTCTTCCTTTTTGCCTTACTCTCTGCCTCTCTTCTCCTTTCGGGGAGACCATCGCCGAGCCACCTTGAGCCACCACCAGCCTCCACCATTTCTTCCCCCCCCCTCTTCTCGGTATAGCAGGCAGCAGCGTCGACGGCGTGGTGAGGTTCAGGCGATGCGGAGAACCACCGTTAGCATCCACCTCAACGGCATCAACGATCTCCTTCCAGCGAACAGAGTGACGCTTTCCCCTGTTCTCCACCCTAGCGACCTCTCTCCGATGGTGGAGTAGCAGATCTGGCAGCAACAGTGGACGTCGACTGGTGGTGAGCTCGGACAATGGCAGTCTCCATTCCTTTCCGGTGGCCGTAGCAGCGTCGACTTCACCTTCTTTGCAGTAGCGGCAGTTTCTCTCCGCCGGCAATGGCCTTCCTCTTGGTGGCATGGACTGGTCCCCGACGAGAAGAACCCGTAGGTGAGCTTTTGGGTTAGTTTAATAATGAAGAATAGTGGATTATCTCTTTGATTAAAGTATGATTAATGGGTCTTAATGATTAATGAGAATGTTTGGGTATATATTTATGGATTGCTGACTCAGTAATGGTGTTTAATGCCTAAAGATGGATTAGCAAGGTAATGACTGGTAATTAAGATTAATATTGGATGATAATGAAGATGATGATATTGAGTACGTACAGTGATGATGGTTGTTGAATATAAATATTAGTTAATGAATTTATTACTGTTAATAAAGATTAATTGCCTAAATAATGAGGAATAGGCAATGTGGTGGAGTGGTTGAAGAGTTGGGTTAGTAAGGTGGATACTTAGGTTCGATTTTAGCTACCAACGTATCTAATTAAATTTTGGGTGGACTAATGAGATAATTATTTGTTATATAATGATTATTGAATTGGTTGAGTGATGATGGGATTTGGATTGAATTTTGGGTGGACTAATGAGATAATTATGAGTTATATAATGATTATTGAATTGGTTGAGTGATGATGGGATTTGGATTAAGTGAAGTGAGGACGAGTTTATGGGATCTATTATTAAGGAGGAATCATTGGTTTAACGATATTGAGATCTGATTTAATACTTCTATTGTTAATAATAGTTTGAGTAACGAAAGAGGATCGGTTGATCTACAGGTTTCTCGTTAAAGTAGTTAGCTCGGGAGTGAGCTCAAGAATCGAATGCTTGGCTTTGGAAGCTTAGCTTGAGGTAAGTTTCTATGTCCGTTTAAATTACTTTGCCCTATTAAATGTGCTATTTATCTGATTTGTGTACTTAATTTTGAAAATGTGTTCTAGTTTTAAAATGTGTTAAATAGCAAAATATAGTTATTTTGGTGTTGACTTGTGATCTCTATGGGTTGAAACTATATTTTTGAAAGGTGTATAAGCTATGGTGTGCCCAAATGTTTTACGTGTTGAAAACCTATTATAATTGGAATTCATTTGAGTATTAGAAAACTTATAATTTTGTGATACACATATATATTTATACATTGATAAATTGTGGCTGAAAACCTAAGCATATTGAAATGAGTGAAACAATGTATATATTGGAGGATATGAAATTATATTTACTTTTGAAGGACGATTGTTTTTGGAGGAAATGTGTAAATTAGATAAAATATGTTATTTTGCATACTATTATATTCTTTTTGGAGGATAAAAACGATTATGGAAAGTATGAATATTGATGGGTTATAATGCATTGTATTATTTGAAAATTATAATTTGGACAGCGTACGGGCAAATGAGAATATTCATGAAAACCTTTCTTGGAAAACTATTATTACTTTTGGAGGATATTGTATCTCTTTTGATAACTATTCTTGTTTTTGGAGGATATATAAAGATGTATCTATTTTTGGAGGATATGTGGATATGATGGATGGTTGTGGAATGGTGGACTTCGGTCCTATGTGGGTTCTGGCCCTATTTTGATGAGATTGTATCTGGTAGAAAACATCCTGGATACCTATTATATGTGGAGTAGCCTGGTAGAAAACATCCTGGGCTACTTGGACTAGTTACTACTCTTTTGGGTGGGGGAAGCCCATTAGGGGGTGTGCACACTTAAGGTTTTAGTCCTTTATCCCACGAAAGGGACAAACTTGTGGAGTGGACTGTAGAGTGGATTACCGTGTCACTAGGGCGTAGTTGATCTAAGACCCTTCGTCCCTTTCATCATATATATATGAGAGTATATGGATATGTGATACTTGGAAAAGTGATTTGAGAAATATGATTTGAATTCCTCCCTATCTATTATTGTTGACATATATGTTTCTGAGAATGACTTGAGAGAAATCTATATCTTGATATGATGACTTGAAGAGATTATTATTTTGCTATTGTGAATTCCTCCATATATACTGTATACCTATCTATACTTCCAAAATGATTATGTGGAAAGCTATGCTTTGAAATGATACTCATATTGAGAAGTGATATTTCTAAATCCTCCATACTTATTATTTTGGGAAATGAACGAATGATTTATAGGGTAGTTGTATTGTTTTGGAAAGAGTAAATGTTACTATTTTGGTGACCCTATTACTAATATGAAACCTAATGCTATTTTGAGTGGAGTGTGTTATGGCCTTGGTGCCTATTTCTTTTTGGGATAATTATCTTGGAAAATGATTTACTACTTACCTTTGTTATTGAGTCAAACTATATGATTGAAATGATTTTAAAACTCATTTACAAAATATGTCCAATTTGAAAAGTATAAATGTAAGTATTTTACAGGGCGGAGTAGAGCTTACTTAGCATTTTATGCTAATCCTTTTATTTGTGTTTTCCAAACCTTAATGTTTGCAGGATTTGAAGTTGTTGCTAGTTTGAGAGTGCGGCGTAGAGCTCGTAGTCTTGGATTTGAGTTTGGTATAACTGGTTTAGTCTTAGAACTTGAATTGTTGTTGTAGTTAATTTGTGATTTGGAAAGTGGAATGTTGTAATATGGATTTGTAGATAGAAGCCTTTTTAGCCTGTGCGTTTGGGCTTAGTTGGCTGCCCAAGCGTGGCATAGCACCCCAATGGTTTAGATTTTGATTTTGCTTCCGAATTTGTATTTAGTCGTTTAGTAAGAGAAGTCTTTTATTTTGATTTTTAAGTTGGGGGTGTTACAGACTAATATTCTACCATTATATATTTTCATCCGAGTCACCCATCCTGATCGATTGAAGGTGTTAGCTCTAGACGATGATGGACAAGATTGTGTTGCTACTACGAATGTCGTCTACAAAGATGTTTCAATAATGTGTAAATAAAATCGTTGATATTATGTTTTTTAAATGACAAAATTGCTATATATATATATATATATATATATATATATATATATATATATACATATATATATATATATATATATATATATATATATATATATATATGTATATATATATATATATATGTATATATATATATATATATATGTATATATATATATATATTTATGTATATATATATATATATATGTATATATATATATATATGTATATATATATATATATATGTATATATATGTATATATATATATATATATATATATATATATATATATATATATATATATATATATATGTATATATACATATATATATGTATATATATACATATATATATGTTAGACTATGCTTTTATTATGTAACTTATAATGTATAGTTGTGTAGCTCAGGTAGAGATCTAGTCTTAAGCCTATTAGATAGCTCTCTCTCTTCAGAGTATATTTGTAATCTGATTTCAATTATTGAATGAATCGATCTCTTCCACACTCATCTGGTATCAGTTAGCCAATACGAATCCTGTGATTCAATCGTGTTTGTTTTTCTCTCTCCCTCTTTCGACAATGTCACAGAGCTCGGAGCGTACCCTCACCACTACCACCGTCTCCTACCCAAACACCAACCCCAATTCCCTACCTAGTGCACATCATTTTGTGTCACTAAAACTCACGCACCGAAACTACCTATACTGGCGAACCCAAATTATTCCGTTCCTACGTGGTCAACGATTGCTTGGATTCATCGATGGAACTCGGCCATGCCCATCGCCGATGCTAGAGCTTCCCGCCGGCGACTCCTCTGACGGGCGCTGCTTTCACGACGATCAATCCGGCTCATGAAGCGTGGATAGAACAGGATGCCTCCATCCTTTCGTTACTAATCTCCTCGATCTCCGAGGAGGTAATGTACCACACTTGGTCAGACCACGTCTCGTGGGGTGTGGCTTGTGGCGGAGATAGCCCTCGGTTCTTCATCGCAGGTTCGTTGCCTTAATTTTATGGGGCAGTTCCAGTCATTGAGGCAAGGAGACGCCTCCACGCAAGAGTATCTCGGCCGAGCGCAGAACTTGGTTGAGGATCTTGCCCTTGCTGGCCGGACGATGACGCTATCGGAGAAAAATTTGTACATTTTCCAGGGGTTGCGGACGTAGTTCCGGTCTATGGCAGCCTCCCTGGCGGTCACCGGTACGCCGGTGACAATCCCGCAGCTGGCCGACTACTTGCAGGCCCACCAGTTCATCCATGAGGATGATTTTCCGGTGCAGCAGTTTGGAACGACGAGTGGATTACCCTCGGCGTTGTACGCTGGTCGTGGCAGACGGCAGACCGGCAATGTCAATCAGCGCGGTGGACAGTCCCGAGGTAGAGGCGGCCGTGGAGGAAATTAGCATGGCGGCTGTGGTGGACGTGGAGGCAACTAGCGCGGTGGCGTTCGCTGTCAGATCTGCCGCTCTCAGGGGCATTCTGCCGCCTTCTGTTACAAGCGGTATTCGGTATTCCGAGCCTCCACCCTCCCAGGCGCATGTCGCAGTCACGGGTGACGGAGGAGCACCGGTGGTGACATCTTGACTGCCGGACACGGGAGCTTCTGCACATGCAACTCCAGATTCCGGTGTCCTCGGGCAGTCAACGGAATATCACGACGATGATGTTCTAAGAGCGGGGAATGGCTCAGGTTTGGCGATCTCGCGTAATGGTTATGCAGTAATTCCTTCGGTTTCTAAATCTTTAAAACTGTCTAATATTTTACATGTCCCTGAACTCTTTGTCTCGTTATTATCGGTCAATCGTTTCACAAAAGATAATAATTGTTATTTTGAGTTTCATCCCAGTTTTTTGTTGTGAAGGATTGCACCATGCAGGCAATGCTTCTTAAGGGACCAAGTTTCGGGGGCTTGTACTCGTTGTCAATTCCGAAGTCACATTACGCGTTCGCCTCGGTACGTGCCTCTTCCATGGTCTGGCACCAGCGTCTCGGTCAACCACATGGTCAAGCCTTGCAGCGTATCTTGCGGGATTGCCCCGTTGAGTCAAATAAAAGTATAATGCCCAAATTATGTAATCCTTGTCAACTTCGAAAATCGTCCCGTTTTCCTTTAGATAGGGTTCTTAAGTCAAGTAATAATGTACTCGATCTCATTTACACTGATATTTAGGGCCCTTCGCCAGTTCTTTCGGCAGATGGCTCTCATTATTTTGTACTCTTCGTAGACGATAATACTTGCTTTTGTTGGTATTATCCTCTGCGACTCAAAACAGATATCTATAAAATATTCGAGCTTTTTCGGGCGATGGTAGAACGTACCTTTTCACGTTCTATCAAGTCCATCCAGTCTGATTGGGGGGGGGGGGGGGGTGAATACCAAAAATTACACAAAATCTTCTCATCCTTAGGGATTATACACAGGCAATCATGTGCCTATACACACGAACAAAACGGCCGTGTTGAGCGCCGACATCGGCATATTGTCGAGACCGGCTTAGCTTTGATGGCACAGGCGTCTATCCCGCACCGTTATTGGGATCACGCTTTTGAAACCGCCACTTTTCTTATCAATCGCTTACCGTCTGCCTCTCTCCAGTTTGATACACCACACTACCGCCTTTATCATGAGCCACCCAATTACATATGGCTTCGTGTGTTTGGCTGTCTGTGTTTTCCTTATCTACGCCCATATAACCGACATAAAGTCGAGTACCGATCAAGCCCGTGTGTCTTCTTAGGTTATCCACCATCTTTTAGAGGTCACCGCTGCATGAGTTTACACACCGGGAAAACCTATATCTATTGCCATGTCTGCTTTGATGAAACTAACTTTCCTTTTGCAACAGTTGGTTCTTTACAGGCAAGTGGTGATCCACCCGGGCCCAGTACACCGTGGGCCTCTAGTCCCGTTGCTCATCACGGTGGCGAAGCCGTCCTGGCTCTACCACCGCCTAACCCTATGGTTGAGCCTCCAGCTCGTGCACCCACCCGGCATAGACCACGGGACAGGCCACAAGAACAGGTTCATGTAATGCGCCTACGCCACCAGACTCGAGGTTCCGTCGAGGAGTTTCATGCTCTCACTACAACTATCCCTGATCCTACTTGCTACTCGCAGGCAGTTGGGCATTCCCACTGGCGAGATGCCATGGATCAAGAATTCAATGCGCTGTTGCACAATAATACGTGGCAACTGGTTCCCGCCACATCAGACATGAACATTGTAGGGTGCAAGTGGGTTTTTCGCACTAAGCGAAATGCCGATGGAATAGTCGAGCGCTACAAGGCTCGGTTAG